ATTTTGGGGGAAAATAAGTTATTTTAAAAACCATTTGTTACCATTATATTGAAATCGCAATATTGTCCACAGTAATTGCAATATGACTGTTCCATATCGTGCAGCCCTACCAGAAAACCACCTCCTAAAGTTTCAGATGCTCCCACACTTATTGGCTAGTAACTTTGGAAAACCACTAGCTACAGTGGCTTTTGAGGGAGTAAGTTAATGTGTAGTAGTTTCTTTTGCTTAATACATCCAATATTTTTTATTTATTTCTGTCCTCATTTTTGTTAATTTATTTCATCTTTTCCAGATGCTCCAAAGCTTCCCTCTGTGTCAGTGAGTCCCTCTGCTGAGATAGTGGAGGGCAGTTCAGTGACTCTGACCTGCAGCAGTGATGCTAACCCAGCAGCTCATTATACCTGGTACAAGAGGAATGGATATCCAAACCTTCATCCTCTCAGTAAAGAACCACAGTTTTTCTTTGGCTCCATTCAGTCCTCTGACTCTGGAGAGTATTACTGTGTAGCTGAGAATAAGCTGAAGAAGAAGACATCTAAATCAGTCTTCATTGATGTGAAATGTGAGTAAAACACAACTAATGACAACTTTTTAAAGCTTAATTATCCAGTCAAATATTTTGGTTTCCCAAATCTGCATGGATGTTCAGGGGATTCAAACCTTCAGTAATCCAGAAAACCACCACCTAAAGTTTCAGATGCTCCCACACATATTTGCTAGTAACTTTGGAAAACCACTAGCTACAGTGGCTGGTGAGGGAAGTTAATGTGTAGTATTTTGTTTTGCTTAATACATTTTGCTAGAAACAAAATTGCTGCCTGGATTTTGTTAGGTGGCAACATTTTTTGGATTGTAGGAAGGGCCAACTTTTTTAACCCCCACACAGTTAAAATTACAGTACAAATATCAGCCATCTGCAGAAAAATGAATACAATTTAATGTTGTTTTCTGAAATAGTTATTTTGACAATAAAATTATACATGTCAAAACATCAAGGAAATATAAAGTATATAGATTTCTTAGCTTGTGCTAACCAGGAATATAATATCAATAAGTATATAGACCCAACTCTGCTAATGGAAAGTTAATCAGGGACACAATTCCAGTTTACAGCACATTTCAACATTTGTGTTTAAATGTGTGAAGGACATTCTTCTGGCCTCCTCTTAGCTGTGTTCACATACAACGCAAATTTAATCTTCAAAATGCTTTCCTCGCGCGGATTTTTAGCGCTGGACAACTACACTCTAATAACTATTACTGGGATAAACTTGAGAAAACCACTAATAAAATTGAGTAGATATAACTTTTTAAAGTAGATATAAATAGAAACATTACTATTATTTAACACATCAAATGTGCAACATTTACTCAATGAATTACTGGAATTCAATTTATATTTAACTATCAATTATCAAAATCATATATGTTACATGTACTTAATTCTTTTAGCTATATTACCCTTTATATCCAGGAGTACATACACAATATACTTCAAGAAAAACAACAAAAATTACAAATGACATATGTAACAATTACCACACTATAAAAACAGTGAGCTCAACTCTGCACATTAGTAAGCCGTCTCTAAAAAATGGGTAAAATGCGCCAAGAACAATTGGCCTTTGAATTAACTTATATAATATAGCAGAAATAGAATATGATATTCACAAGTATGTTTCAGAGTCCAGAGACCTGTAGGGCGGCTTCGTGCGTCTGGCCCCAAGCAAAAGGGATGCATCATCATTTACACAGTCTAGGTTTCTATGTTTTGGGGAACAGAGATTCCATGAGAGGAGAGGAACAACAAGAGAGGGAAAACACCAAAACACTCAACAAAAAAAAACAAAAACTCACAGCTCTGACCCAAACCCTAGTAAATGTGGACAGACCAACATAAGGAGTACAGGAGAGGAAAGGTTAAGGATAAAAACACAATACATATCTATAACAATAACAGTAATAATGATAATATTAAAAGATCATACATAAATTAAATGTAAGAGGACACAATTTTCTGCCATTACAATAATATTTGTGCTGATTAAATCGTCTATCAGCCCAACCCTAGCGTGTGTGGTATGTAGGGCTTAATGATTTTCAGATATTTCCTGAGCTGACTGGTAGCTGTGTGTGTGACGCAGGCGCCGATCGCCACAATACGCTTACCTTTCTACACGTGACTTTCACCCACCACCAAGTTACAAGGTGCTACTTTCATTCCATGTGTGACACAAAAGTTTCTGTAGTGTCAGTTTCTTTCAAGCTTAAGGCCGTTGTACAACAAGAAGACAAGGTACGGCGTAACGTGCAGACAAAGCATCAACTTCGTCTGCAGACTGCTTTACTCTCGCGTATCATATGACCAGAGAGTAATCTCAGCCTTTGCGATTAGGAAATCACTAGTTCAGCTCTAGTGGTATCCTAGGCTTTTTGTAATCCTTTTTGTTTTAGCGCAAAATATGTAGTTGAATCCAAATTTTTAGCCTGATCTGATTCCATAACTTTCAAACTGCTTGTTACAAAAAAAGGGACACACAAAGAGTAATCCCTCCCTGCTAACTCGCCATGCTTCCCCTTTGCATGTTTGTGATCTCGTCTCAGTCATCAATGAATACATTAGTTAAAACTTCCTGAAAGTCCTGAAAACTATTTTACTAACCTCAAAGTCCTTCATCAAGGCACTTGTATCTTCTCCCAGGTGGTCAAGGAGACATCGGATGATGACCTCTTGTTTTGTTGAATGAAGTTTCCACTCTGCAGAACAGAAAGTATTTAAACTACTAATAAAACCTGCACATTCATGCAGAGTTTGCTTTACTGCACCCACTTTATTGTCAAAATGGTTTAAATTTAGTTAACATTGAATAAATGAAACATCAGCAGCATAGAACTGGTATTTGTTGAGGGATGCAAAGTAGATGCAAGAAAAAAAAAACATGGAAAACTCATGGCACAGATGAACAGGCAGATGCATGACCATGACCAGAATGAAGACAGAAAAGCAAGTAATGTTAAAGCTAGGGTCGGTAAGATTTATTGATTGACAGTATTACGTGAGACAGATAAGAGTGGCTCCCTCCACTCCAGAAGGAATACAATTGTATAACCTGAAGTAGTCAGTCATACTCACATCTGCCCGATGTCACTCGCCTGCAGCACCCTTCTTCGCCTTGGACAGGGACAGCTGTTTGGTGGAATACAAGTCCAACATTGATGTAAATTTTGGCTCAAGATTCAGTGTGATGATCCTCTGGAACTCAACACATTGACCTGAATGAGAAAGATGAGAAAAAAGAAATTAGTGGCAACATAATCGATCATCATTTCAATTCTGCAAAAACACATGCAGGTTTTCTGTCTGTAACTTCTGTGTTAACCGCTACAAAAATTATTTTTACTCACTTGCAAGACATCAAACAAGGCAGGCCATCACCAGGATCTGTAATGGCAGCAAACAATGAATGTAGTGTTAAATGCAAAATATCAGATAGCAATATTAATATTAAAATACTAATTTCATTTTGTGAAATAAACTTAATGATAATTGTAAATTGAACAAAAAATTAGCTGTTAAACCTCTAGGCATTTAATTGGAATGTACAACTCAAACAATCAGTAAAGCGATATTCAGAGATTTTATTAAGTTAGTATAGCTATTTATTACTATGATATTTACTAAGCCTGTGAATCATTTTTTAGAGTGTAACGTTGCTGAGTGTTTGCACGGTTCGCACACAACGCGGTAAACGAATAAACACAACCCGCAAATTCTACAGCTAAATGAACGCAAAGTAAACATTTTGCTGTGATTTAATAGCAATAAACGGATCAAACTGATGCCGAAATAACTACAATATGATGCCCGATTTGTTAAACATATGAATTCATGCTTTGCCAGGTCTGTCAGCAGGACAACAACTTTTAAAATGTTGGTTTTCTGAATGGAGTTTGGTTCGAGCTGGGCTTTGCTATGCTAACTTGTTCACAATAAAGTACAACGATACCTGGAATAAAGTTACAGACACACATTTTCTGAACTCACCAGGTAGTTCAACTTCTTCACTTTCTTTTCTCCAAGTAATGTCCAGTTTTGTCTGTTTTTATGTAAATATGAAGTCTAGCAGAGCTCTGGGAGCCAGTCGACGCTAACAACAGTGGAACCAAATGTGCACGGAAGCTATAGCTGCCGAAAAGCTCCAGTGAAGATGAATCAACGTTGTATTCCCAAAAACTAAGTTAAAAAGCAAATTTAATAAAAGCAGTTAACTCTGAGCTTCTCCCGCGAGTAAACAGTGTTATCAGAGCATAATCCAGTCCGACTACAGGTGTTTATTTGTCCAAAAACTGCAGCGCTGCTCCCCGTACACTTCCCCGTTCTTTAGCAGCTCTCTGTCAGCCAGCGGCATTTTGATTCCCCGCTCTCCCTGGTCCTCTTCAAACAATGCCGGACAATCTCACGCTGATAGGCTTTCACAACATAGCATCCAACGAATTTCTCGCTCAAGTTGAAAATTTTGAACTTCTGCGACCCAGCTAATGTCGTAACAAATGCGTCTTCCGCACCGGCCAGAGCAAATTTGCATCTTTGCATTGACTTTGTATTTAATCAAGCCTCCCAAAACGCTGGATTCACTTTCAGTTTGAACACAGCTTTAGATTTTAGAATAACTCAAGTGGCCCAAACACACAGCTCTGTCTGCTGCCAGTCACAAACCCACCTCCAAAAAAAGTCACCTCCAAAGTTGCAGATGCTTCCACACACATAAAGCAAGGCCAGTTTATTTGTAAGCACATTTCAACAACAAGGCAATTCAAAGGGCTTTACATAAAACATAAAAGCAACAAAGGGAAATTGAACAAAAACATTAAAATATGCATTTTTTTAAGGGTAAAATGGAAAATAAAAACAGCGTACAAACACATAACTATTACTCATTTCAATACAACATGTAGCACCAAAGAAATCTATCCTCACTTTTGTTTATTTTTTCCAGATGCTCCAAAGCTTCCCTCTGTGTCAGTGAGTCCCTCTGCTGAGATAGTGGAGGGCAGTTCAGTGACTCTGACCTGCAGCAGTGATGCTAACCCAGCAGCTAATTATACCTGGTACAAGGAGAATGAAGACTCACCAAAAGCATCAGGACAGAACTTCACCATCACTGACTTCAGAGCTGAACACAGTGGGAATTATTACTGTGAAGCCCAGAACAGAAGAGGACGTCATAACTCCACCTTACATCTGATTGTTGTGGCAGGTAAGTTTTTGCATTGAGCTGCACACACTCTGAAATGTATCAGCTTGTATGTTTCAGTGAGTGAAGGAAATTGTGGACCTCAGCTGGGGACAGTACAGTGTTTTCTAACACAATTTTTCAAACTAGTGGCTATTTTTGAAAACCTCTACACACTAATCACAAAACTTACACCAATAAAACAAAACATTATACATCCCTTGCAAAAGCAAACAATTCTTACAAAACTCTTCAGACTCTTTGTATTTTTGCATTAATACAGTAAACACAAATGCACTGTACTTGGTTCAGATCTGTCTCTGCTTTCTATCTCTGACAGTAGAGAGATAATAATCTCTTTTTAGAGAGAACATTCTGATCTACTTTGGCTTTTAGTTTCTTCTTTGTAACGCTCCAAATCAGTTTCTCTACATTGGTAATAATTTGGTTTACTCTGATTGGTGTTTGGAAAGCAGTGTTACTCTATGGGAGCAATGGGTCCAAACATGCTGTAACACTCTAATTTACTGTCTGTGTTTTTTTGTTCCCCATTTTTTAGGAGCAGGGAAATTAACAGTTGCTACAACAATCACTGTTGTTCTCCTGGTTATCATTTCCCTCTGTCTCTTCCTGTGGATCAGGTGAGCAGCTCTGTTTCACTGAATCATTGAATGTTAAATCACTGAAGGTCAGTTTGTCCAACCTAAAACGTTCAGTCATTTATTTTCTTATTTATTCTCCTAACCAGGAAAAAGAGGGCTTCCAAGGAATCGTCTGAGCCTGAAGAGAGACCAGACAACAGGGAACAGGTGAGAATAGTCACGGATCTTATTCAAGAACAAAAGTCACTCACTCTTCAAGTGCTTCTGGAAATGAATCTGACTGAGAAGGACTTCATGTTGCTCTTTTGACGTCCTTCTTCACAGCAATGAATTTCTAATGGATGATGTGACTAAATTCCTAGTAGATCCAGAAGCTTTCCTACTTTTTGTCCTTTCCTTGTAAATTCCTTTACTTAGCTCTTTTCTGTAATGCACGGTGAAGCAGGGTATTTGTTCCATCATTACCACAGCTGTAGTTGCTTCAGTCTTTTCTGTCCTGGTTGCAATCATCTGTAAGAATTCACTATTCAAATGAAAAACCCACTCATGTAAAATATGTCTGTGCAGTTTCTACCTGAACAGCCAGAGGAGCAGGATAACCTTCAGTATGCCAGCATTCACTTCACCAACAACCAGGCAGATCCTCTCTACTCCAACATCAGACCAGCTCGCTCCCTCAGACACACGGAGCAAGATTTCATGGAGTACGCTGTTGTCACATTTAAGAGTAATACTGCCCCGAGGTGAGCAGCTCTTCTCACATTATCCTCACTACAAGATTAAAATGACATAACTGTGAGATAAATATGTTGCTTTTGCATTTTGCCTGCTCTGCTTTTACATTTGTTGTATCGCTGTTTGGATATGATGTTATTTATATTATTTCATACAATGTCTTCTTTTTTCTCAGATCCAGAGGTCAGGAAACTGGAGAGGATGTAGCTGCATTGTACAGCACCGTCACCCAAACCTATTGAACACAACAGATATTACATTTCTGATATTTCTATGTTTCTTTATAAACTTTGTATTTAAGCAGGTAATGATTGATTTTTACAATATATTTCTCAGGATGGGCCTCAAAAAATGGGCTAATTAATTATATACCTTAGAGAAACTTTTCAACATAACATCCACCAGTATAGCAGTAGGGGTGGTGATGGAGCAGTGGATAAGACACATGCCTTCAGATTCCCACTGGACACATCCACCAATGTGTCCCTGAGCAAGACACTTAACCCCTAGTTGCTCCAGAGGCGTGTGACCTCTGACATATTTAGCAATTGTAAGTTGCTTTGGATAAAAGCGTCAGCTAAATGAGTAAATGTAACCAGTGTTCAGCTTAGATTTTTACTCTGCATGTGCAGCTTTAAAGAATGTGTAAAGTATTTTATGACTTAAAGCATTAACTTGAATATTATTTGTGTAACATGTTTTTACAGTCTTTGAAAGTTCAGTTCAGTGACCTTTTATCTCTGCTCTCTAACAACTCTCCTTCCTGCCAAACCTCTTCCTGGAGACACCAAAATGTACCTGAAGTAACTGTTAGTGCACCAGAGGAAGTTAAGCCTCTCAGACCTAGGAGCTACTTTCAGAGCTAAACTTGTTTGTTTTTGTTTGAGTCTTACAGTTAGGACTTAAACACCCTATTTTTTATGGAGATTCATAAAACTCAGCTAGTTAGGAGCTACATGTTTTGTGAGTATGACTCTACTGTTAGTTCAGGAGTAGTAGTTACAGTGATATCCAACATCAGTAAGTCAAAATAAAAATAAACTGGTGCATTAATAACAGTAAAAGTAAGGCTGAGGCTGCTCCACAGTGTCTGTAAGTAAGTGAGGGAGTTTTGCATAAATACCTTCACAATTATCTTATCTCAGCTAATGTGTATATAGTCTATGTAGTTTTTTGGTTGGCTTCCTTCTAATTTCCTTCTTTTCTAAGGCAGCTGTGGCTCAGGAGTTGGAGTGGGTTGCCTGTTAAATCCCTGGCTCCTCCAGGCTCTGAATGTTAGTTTCTGTTTGAGCACTTAGGCTCAGTGTATAAATGTGAGTCAATGATGGATGCAGATGTTGTGTAAAAGCACTTTGAGTGGTCAAAAAGACTAGAAAGGTGCTATACAAATATGGAGTCTTTACATCTATTTGTAATTATTTCAGTCAAATAGTGTCGGTGTTCGTTACCTCTTAGCCAGCAGTCTCTTGTGATGCTGTAACATGTCACTTCCCCCCCAGAGATCAATAAAGCTGAAGATGAAACTACAGAGTTTGCATTTCTTTCCTCTCTAAATGAGATTTCTGCCACTTTTTGTACCATTTGTTCTTTTTACATCACTTTTTATCACCAGTATTCTGGTCTGGTTTCCAGGTCTTATACTATCAATAAGACTCCATCATGTGACTTTTTCCACTCTGACGCAGCACATCAATTTGAATCTATGGTGTGCATCCAAGCGATGCATCAAACTGTCAGTTTTCTCCTGTTCCTGTTTAGTCTAGCACCACTGACAGAACACAAACCATGATGACACTTACAGTAAGATTTCTTTCTTGTGTTTGTGGGGTGTTCTGATGTGCCACAATTTGGTTCATTGTTCATGTAAATAATGTAAAGAGGAAGGAAGTTAGGTGGATTTTAACAGCTTCGACTTCTGTTTCCTGCTTTCAGACCACAAAGGAATGTTGTCTTGTGAAGATAACTTAATTTCATGTTAGGTAGAAGTGTTTTTGATTTGACTGATTTACTTTGGTAAACAGCAGCAGCAAGTGGATTTGTCGTCCTTCTCCTGACTGTACCAGGTGCTGTATATCTACATTTAAGTTCTAGGGTTAAGTTTACATTTAGTCAAAGCAACCTAAGTTAGTTTAAGAAGAAACATTTAATTAAATCATTTATTGTCAGACGTCCATGTTCCTAGATTTGACCTGTACAGTCATGAAGTGTGGTACATTAAAATACCTTAAAACTCTGACTGCAACACCAAACCTTAACTTTTGGACTCAGTGCTTCTACTTTGGTGTATAAATGCTTGTGTCTGGATTGTTACCACACAGTGGTTTGTGGATTTTCTCGTATATTTCAAATATAGTCTATAATCTGTATCCTCGATACCATAAATTTGAATGCTGTGTACAGTAAGGGTTGCAGAGGAGGGAAATACGTTCTTGGATGCAATGTGATTTTGAATTATTCATCCCCATAGAAGGACGACTACTTGTCTCAACCTGTGGGCACTTTTAGCACAATGCAGTGATATTTGGTAGGAGGAGGGGGTCTGATAAGACTGATGCTAATACTCAATCATTCTGCTTCTCTTCGTGTTGAGTCTCAAACAGTGAAGTCTTCTCGCACATATTTCTACTTTTATGTCATTAAGTTGATGGCTAACCTTTTTAATTGTGTAAAATCACTTTTTCACTTGGATTTACAGGAAAACTACCTGTTTCATTGCCAAGCAGAATGCTTGAGTCAGTGTCAATGCATTTCTTTCTCTTGAATATGAAGTCAAAATAATGAGCGAGCACCAGCTCACAATTTCTACTTAGGAAGTAAAAATTGTACTTAGTATCTTATGATTTCGATTTTTTGTTCTTTCTATAATTTTTCTCTCTTCCTGGTAGAAATTGACTTCTTTAGTTCAGAGCTCAAAGTAGTGCAGGGACCCTGGACCACCTAGAAATTTTAATTGGATTTGGGCAAATTACAAGTGTCCAGATCTAATGTTATGGGGAATGCCCTCAGTCAGCAGTCTACCATAAAGTTAATCTGTTTTTAATTTACATGGATTTGATGAATTGATCTTGGATGAGCACCAGCCGAATGGACAAAATGGCAAAGCAACTTTAGGGTTTTAATGTCAGATCTCCAAAAAACATTAAATACAAGGTTTCAGTAAGCACTTTTACTTAAAAGTAGGGCTGTCCTGCCTATAATAATACACATTAGCTCCACTTTAATCTTGAGAAGCTGCAGAGCTGCAGTCTCTATTCATTCAACCTACACTGTAAATTTCCAGCTAAACTGATGCTTAAAGTTGAACAATCTCTCTCTCCTGCCATTCACCGGTCTTGTGCAGAGTTTTCCTCACGGGTCTATTTCAAGTAGCCGGCTGTTTAAAAAACGATTAAGTATTCTTTGTGTGGTTCATCATCGGTGATAAATTATCCGAAAGTCCCGCGAGGTGCAGACAACTTGTCGAGCACCCCCATATCGTCAAAATGGCATGATCCTTGTTTTGCTGAGAAGCCTCGACAGAGATTGATGGTCGAATCAGGCTCCGCACATCGAAGTATCAAATCTTCCACTATTGGGGGTTTTATGCCGAGTTTTGCCTGCCTGCCGAGAACTGCATGCACCTCCAAATACTATATATTCTTTGTGGGTTCATCAATGTGAGAAATGATTCAAAGTATATATTTTTGAATGTTTAGAGTCTTTAATAGTTTAATAAACTTAGCAGAAGTACCATTCCTTGAGATTCAGTAAATATTGTGGTGATAACCTGATAATCAATGCACAGCAAAGTGTCTGAAAAGAACCTAAAGAGGTGGATGCATAACGGCAGAACAAATTTTGTAGGCTACCTGCTGAGATTTGCATCCACTTCTTTTCTGAGCATAAATGGCCGTTATCACTCGCGAGGTGCATGCAATTCTCAGCAGGCGGGCAGAATTCGGCACAACAGGTGTCAGCCCTTCTAAAAAGTATTAAAAAGTGGTACTTTCCTGCTCCACTCCTAATACACAGACTTTTTTATGTCTGAAATAAATGGGCTAAGCTGAAGCACCCAAGAGTCATAAATATTCCTATGACAGCCTCTCATTAAAAACAGAAATACCTGAATACCTAAAATACTTTATTGTTTTTCATTTCCAGTCTCACACTCTGTGGCAAATGGTTTGACTCCTCTGGAAGTAGTTTTGTAAATGTACAGTAGTTCAATTAAGTCCTACAAAAATAAATAAGTAAAATGAAGTCTGTTCTCTGATGTTGTTATGGATCGGATTTTGAATTCTGAAGTCACCTGTTTTTCAGTTGTGCAGAGTCAGAATGGCTGGAGAGTGATTTACACTTCTACTCCGATCTGTGCCGTAAAAGGATCAACAGTGGAATTAAGCTGCACCTACATTATCCCTCCAGCTTAAATAATCATGATACCAAAGCTGAGGAAACATTCTGGTTTACGAAAGAGAGTAATAATGTTTATGTGATCTGAGATCGGACCCGGAGTATTCAGGCGAGTGACGTATAGCTGTGATAAGAACCGCTGCACTCTGAGAATCACAGACCTGAGAGAGAGCGACTCAGCTGAGTACAAGTTCAGGTTCATAACAAACAAGAACGTGGGAAATATACTGGTTACCTGGAGTCACTCTGTCTGTCACAGGTAACAATTTAGTTCCAGTATTCAACATCTTATGAACGTTAGTTGTGTGTGTGTGTGTGTTGGCAGTTCAGTCTAAAATGAAGCCTTCTTATTCACTTCAGATCTCCAGGTGCAGGTGACCAGATTAGACATCTACAAGACTTCTAACTGGGCAGAGCTGGAGTGTCTCAGCAGTTGTCACTACCTGATCATCTGTCCTATGTCTGGTATAAAAATGGACAGTACAGGCAGGGAACATCTACTTACTCAGGCTCCTTTGATCCTGCAGACAGCTTTTCCTTGTCACGGTTT